GTGTGTGTGTGTGTGTGTGTGTGTGTGTGTGTGTGTGTGTGTGTGTGGCAGAATAGAGGACATTTAAAGACTCAAAGGGGGAAATAGACAAAAGAGAAATAGGCCTGGAGGTAGATGCCTGCTCATACCTTGTTTGTTTGCATACATTAGAGGTTTATTAGCATATTGGAGTGGTCTTTTAATACAGCAGTGAGGTCACACAGAGTGGATGTGGTGTTGTGTCATGCTGTTTAGTACAGGGAACTCCACATTATTATCTCTATAAAGATTTTACTTCATCCGTTAATTGAGAGAAACACTCCGATTGCTGTTCAGCAGTGGTGGTGGGGGGGAAGTACTCTGATCTTTTACTCCTGCATTCAAAATTTGATTGAACAATTTTTGATTGAACAATTCATAAAAATGTATTTGTGAATTATTTTTTGTATCATTAATCTAAATCCGCAGAGTAACTGAAGTTATCAAATAAATGTAATTGAGTAAAAAGTAAAGATTTCCTTCTGAAATGTTGAGTAGTTTTAAAGAGTTGACAAAGTTTTTTAATGGCAACATTGGATGGAATCTGTTTTTGGTTAAACCAGCAAACTGTCTATTGCCTATTTTTTATTATTCAGCATTTTCTACAATTATCCAACCTTTAGAGCAGAAAGGATGCTGTACTCCATTCTTGCATTGTGTGTTTGTGGTCCTCTATCTTTGCTTTCAGTCAAGTTCCAAAGACATCAGTGAGAATGAGCTCAGTACTGTAAGTTCACAGCTGCTCCCTCTGTGTCCTCCAGACTTGATCTCCCAGCTGCTGGACCCCTGGTTAGACAGAGAGATCTGTTACAACTTGATCCCCGTTCCAGAGTCGTACACGGGACCCCGACTCTCGTTTCCTCTCTCCGTCTCTGATACGAACGCTCTCCTCAGTGCATTTAAGGAGCAACAGGTACAGTAATTAGGGTCTTTCTCTCTCTCTTGCTTTGGATAGATGTGTTGGCTCTTTTAGGGACCTCATTGCTCTTCTTCCTTGCAGACCCTACATGCCAGATATGTTCTGCAGCTGCTGTACGAGACCAAAAAGCTCCTCAAACAGATGCCCAACATCATCCACTTGTCGACATCCTACACCAATGAGATCACTGTATGTGGTGGGTGACGGCGACCTCAGTTTCTTGTTAATTCAAGATTCAAAGTTATTTGTCAAAATGTTTCAGTCTCATCGTTTGGATTCTGTGATGAATTTGAAACACGGCACAGTGGGCTGCTGAATACATGAATAACCTGCTTACCAGTTAAGTGATTGCTGATGTCTGTAAATGTGTTGTAAATACATTTGACTGTATCTTAATGGCAGCGATCCAAGAATGGAGGTCTTGTTTATTTGCACACTGATCGGGCACTTGACTCCTCTTTCTCGGCTGCCTCCTCCTGCAGATTCGCATCTCATTAAACTGAAGAATACTTGTGACTGAAACAGAAAACACACACCGGTCGGCGGTTGAGGTGTTTTAATTCCATTGAGGAATATTTCAGACATCCTCTGCAAATCAGGGATCAGATAAACCAGAAATAAGATTCACATTTCTGCATTGCTGTGATTCTCCTTTTTGGTACAGGTGATCTGCACGGGCGGCTTGATGACTTACTTCTCATATTTTATAAGGTACAGTACAACACATTTCTTTAGGATCACTCACTACCTATTTTACAGGAAAACATTTCGTTCAGATTCATCTGATTTTATATAGATACAGATTTAAACAAGCAAACGTGCGCGACAGTTGAAGCCACATCAGACATAGCCGAAAGCATGCACTCAAGATCTGATTTTAATTTGTTGATTTCACGACTCGCTTCTGTTCAGAATGGCCTTCCCTCTGCGGAGACACCATATGTGTTCAACGGGGACTTTGTGGACCGCGGGAAAAAGTCGATCGAAGTGGTCAGCCTCCTCTTTGCCTACCTGCTGCTTTACCCCGACTACATGCACCTGAACCGAGGAAACCATGAAGACCACATAATGAACCTCAGGTTGGTTAGACGAGAAATTAACAAAAACATTCATCTGTTCAAACACAAGGGTAGTAAAATTAGGATATGTTTTTACATTGTTGTTTCAGATATGGGTTTACAAAGGAAGTCATGCAGAAATACAAGGTGCAGTAACGTCCAGCCACATGGCTTTATTCTGCCTTTATTATGTATATGTACAGAGCTCAGTTCACACTCTGCAGATTTTAGCATTAGATTAATGAAATGGCGCAGTGGCCAACGGTTGTTTGATTAATTCCTTTGTCACTGCGTGCAGACTCATGGCCGTGAGATCCTCCAGCTGTTTCAGGACGTTTTCAGCCTTCTGCCCGTCGCGACGGTCATCGACGGAAAGATCCTGATCGTTCACGGTGGGATATCAGACCAGACCGACCTGGACTTCCTCAGCTCCATAGAAAGACACAAGGTCAGTGGAAACAAGAACGCAACCTGCACTCTTTTATCTGCAAAAATCAGCGTTGGGCACTAGAGTTCAGAACAACATTTAAATAAAATGTTGATGATTATCTGGCAGACAAGGTTCATGCTGAATACCTGAGGTGTTTCAAACAGCATTCAGTGATGTACATCACATACCTTGTTCATGTGATTTCCTTTATTCTTTTAAATGATTGGCCGACAGAAATGATAATTCATCCGTCACACAAATGAAAAATAATCATCTATTTCTTCATTAACAGTCTAGTTGGATCATAAATATGTATGCACATGTTCTCATATAGTTATGAAAAGTAATTCTGGGAAATAAACCAAATTACTCGAGAAGTAGAGGAAATGGATGCAACAAAATGTACAATAATCTCTATGTTGGCTTCTTACCTTCTCAAGGTACTTGCTAAGATTAGTATTGTACTCAGAATGTGTATGAACACATCTGTTAAGTCCAGTCAGTTTTTGATCGGTTTGATCTTCAATTTGGAATACCTTTGTCCTCGCTTTATTTCTGTCTTCCCTTCTCTCCTCTTCCAGGTGAAATCTGCCCTGAGGTTTCCCAGACGCAGTTTGGAGCAGCTGGACATCGGTCATTCCTGCAAAAGAATGAGATCGACGGCCGGCTCTCGTCCCAGCAGCCACAGCAAAAACCAACCGAGGTCTGACAGCAGCCCACAGCCGCTTACAGGTGTTTTTTAAAGTGTACAATAAGACTTCTTGCTTAAAGTGACAGACCCTCTCTTCTGTCCCTTTTTATTTCTGTAGAAAGACGCGATGCGGGCACAGCCGAGAAGACAGCGCAGCCTCCACTTCTTCCTCCTCCTCCTCATCGTCCTCGTCCTCCTCTTCGTTCTGCTCCCCTCGAACTCCATCGTGCCTCTCGCCCCGTCCGTGCCCGTCTTCTCCCAGCATGCCTTACAATATCAATGTCCTCCAAGTGCCTTACCTGGACTCTCTGTCTTCCGTTCCCCCTCCTCCACCTCCACAGCACGATCGGGAATGGAGACAGGTCAGAGTGGATCCAGCGCCTCGTATTGTTCTGTGCCTCGTCCAGCACTTTGATCTGCGTTTCCTCTCTCCTGCAGGTAGTGGATATATTGTGGAGTGACCCTAAACCCCAAGAAGGCTGCAGTCCGAACACATTCAGAGGAGGGGGCTGCTACTTCGGCCCAGACATCACCCGCAGACTGCTGCTCCAGCACGGACTCCAGCTGCTAATCAGATCCCATGAGTGCAAACAGGAGGGATACGAGTTCTGTCACGGCGGACAGGTAGACGGGAGGGACGCAGGACGTTAATTCAGATTGTCCAAATAATTGTTTGAGTCTGTAAGGAATGTTTGCGCATGTTTGTCCCACAGGTGATCACCATTTTCTCAGCGTCAAACTATTATGAGGAGGGCAGCAACCGTGGCGCGTACATCAAAGTGGGCCGAGAACTGGTTCCCCGCTTCTACCAGTACCAAGTCAGCCGCACAACACGCAAACTCACCCTGACACAGAGGTACAACAGGTGTCAGCCGTGTTTCTGCTTGTTTAAAAATGAATACCAGCTCTTTACCAGCTGGTTCCAGCGTCCTCCACTGTGAGGATTTTCTACATGTTTTCATCTTTGGGTTTTGGACTGCTGAGCGGTCAAAACAAGCATTTTTGAATTCAAGCATTTACGTAAGAAAGCTCAGCATTGTGTGTGCTTGCGTGTGCGTCTGCAGAGTGAGAGTTGCTGAAGGCTCCGCCCTCAAGGCCCTGAAGGAGAAGCTGTTCACCCATCGCTCTGAGCTGCTGTCGAGCCTCCAGCAGTACGACCAGAACAACACCGGTGCGCTCTTCTCACTCCGTTTGCCTTGCTTATATTTAACTAGGTTGACATGTATAGCTGTTAGATGCAAGCGTATCTTTTTTTGTGTGTGTTTTTTCAGGTTGTGTGTCAGTCAGTGAATGGGCTCAGGCGTTTGAGTCTGTACTGAGACTGGATCTGCCCTGGAGGACCCTTCGCCCGCACTTAGCCCGCCTGGCACCAGATGGCAGTGTGGATTATCAGTCCTGCTTTGAGGACATGGAGCCAGGGATTCCTCTAGCTCAGGTAAGAGAGGCGAGGGGTCATCTTCATCAGAGCAACCAAGTACATTTACTCAAATACTCTAATTAAAGGGTATTTAATTTTTTACCATTGTGGTGATTTTTTTCTAGTTTAGATTTAATCTACTTACTCTGTTGTATCCCGACTCTCCACCTTGTTGATATACTTCTTACATCTTAAACACAGTTCTGAATTCCTAATGCAGGTCTCTCACTTGTAAAGTGAAATCTTTCCCTAGTGGTACTGGTACTTTTAGGATCATAGTAGGTTACTTGTTCTTCCACTGCTGCTATTAAACTCAGCTAAAGGTTATCTACAGTTCTCTTTCTCTCTTTTCTAATTTTAGGTGACTCCAAACATGGCTGAAACTCTGTTTAGATACAGGACAGACATTGAGATAATATTCAACATTATAGACAAAGACCATTCAGGTAAAAAAAAAGTGTCAGTAATTCAAAAAGTGTGTCTGTCACTTCCGCACATGAGTGTACTGAATGTGTGTTGTCATGTTCAGGTCTGATCTCCATCGAGGAGTTTCGGCACACCTGGCGTCTTTTCAGCGCCCACCTGGGGGTCGACATCGACGACAGAGCCATCGACGACCTGGCCCGAAGCATCGACTTCAACAAGGACGGCAGCATAGACTTCACTGAGTTCCTGGAGGCCTTCAGAGTGGTACACAAACTGGACAACAAGGAACAACTCAACGGGAAGACGGCTGGAGGGAAGTGTTCGTGAAGGGAAGAATCTGAATGCTACAGTGTGGAAAAGCGCGGAAAAGTTTAAATGATTTAGTATTAAGTTAGCTGCGATTTCACTAGCAGTGATGTGGTTTAAAATGATGGTGCATTTTCGCTATTCGGTGGATCTAGGGACGGCAATGTCGATTTATACGTTACTTCCATCCACCACTTTGATTGAAAACTAAAACTACTGGATGGGTTGTCATGAGACAATGATGCTCCCCAGAGGATACATCCTTAAGACTTTGGTGAGCCTCTCAACTTTCATCTAGCACCACCAGCAGGCAAAAGATTTCAAATATCTTGGCATCAGTTTTGGTGCAGACATTCATGGTTCCCAGATGATAAATCATAATGACTTTGGTGATTCACTGTTTATTCATCTAGTGCCACAAACAGGTCGATATTTTTGACCGTGTCGCGGAAAATGACTCGACAAGTGTCGATGGATCGTCATGAAATCTGGCAGAAACATTATAGTGTACAACAGATGCAGCAGGAGTACCAGCGTCGATGCCACGCACTGTAGCATTACATGTATTGACGACTGAAGGCATGAGAAAACAGAGACACACTGCAGCTAATGTTAGAGTTTCAGATAGTGTGTTTTCAGCTGTTTACCAAAAAGGAATAAAATGGCTTTTTGTTAAACGAACTGTTGAATTTTGTGTATGTTTTAAGACTGTGTGTGTGTGTGTGTGTGTGTGTGCGCGCGTGTGTGTGTTCATGTTCGTTCTCTGCTTCACTCGGGCATTCTGCCCACTATAATTACCTAAATGTTGAGAGCAGTAAAACAGGCCCAGGCATCCTCTCAGCCTGAGTAAATGATGGGTTCAGATTTTACTGAACACACACACACACACCGGTTCCAAGAGACAAAAGTGAAGGGTGAGAGACAAATGCGGGGGTGTGGGAACTAATCCTTTTTTAAGTGAATTTGAACATTTTAGTGCTAGCGTTCTTGGATCTTGCCCTCTTTTCTTGTCAAACTGCTGATGTCTGAGTGTTTGTAAGTACTCACCATAAAGCAGCATCTCCCCTGATACCTCCTTATCCATCTGTCAGTGTTTTGCACCCTCTTACCCCTCCTTCCTCCCATATGCCCATCCCGTAGTAATCCCACACCACATCTCCCCTCCCCTCTCCTCAATCTTCAGCTCCTCATATACTTCCCACTTTCACTCTCCAAGTGCTTCTCTTTATCCTCCCGTCCCAAGTGCGAGATCGGATGGGGCTCCTGGCGGCACTGGTCGCTCTGCTCTGCATCTATGCTCCTCCAGGTACTTTCTTCAAGTTGATTTTCATACTTCTGCTGTTGTTGAGAGTGAGCAAGTGTTTTCTGACAACCGCTGGCATTCACTGTGAAACTGTCCTGCAGCGAGCGGAGCTGAGGGATGCAGCGGTTTTAGACACCTGGAGAACGGGCAGACGTTTTTCCGTTACGGTGGACTGCTGGTGATCTTCCGCTGTCGCCCTGGCTACAAGCTCCATGGATACAAGACCAACAGCTGCGTGTCCGGACACTGGTCCCGGAACACCCCAGTCTGTGTTGGTGAGGAGCTTCATTCATGAGCATGTACTGTAAACCTTTTTGTTTTACTATGTGCATTTAGAGGATAAGTGTTAACTCATTTGCCTCAACTTTTTGTCTCAAGCTTTCTTTTTTGCTTCTATTGCAGTGCAGGGTAGAGATTTGAGAGGAGATGAGAATTATGATATCGTCCTGCTCTTTCAGGCTCCGGCTGCTCGAACCCGGGGCCGCTCAGTCACGGGACAAGCAGCATGAATGGGGACAGCTCCTGGGCAGAGTTCAGCTGCAATAGTGGCTTTCAACTGCATGGGCCGTCAATGTTATACTGTAAGGGCCCCACCTGGAATAGCACGAAGCCTATATGCAAAGGTGAGCATAAAAAAACTCTCAGCTATTAAAGCAACATTTTGACATTTTGGAAAATGCGCTTAATTGCTTTCTTGCCGAGAGTTAGATTAGCAGATTGATACCACTCTCCTTGTGTGTATTCGTGTCTTACTATTCCTTTAAATGTGTGTCTTTGTATTACATTGCGTTAATATGTCCAAATAGCAGTAGAACGTTTCTTGCAGCACTGTACCTGTAAGTAACTGTAACTATGTATAGTCATGTTTGAAAGTTGCTGTACAAACAGATTTACCATACCTCCTTAACCATTTTCTCTTTTCTCCTTGTCAGAGTCCGACATGATGCGCTCAGTTTCAGGCGTCAATGTGCACACGCCAAACTTACATCAGAGCCTCCAGGCTGCCGTAGTTCTGAAGACCCAGAAACAATCCCACTACGCCCTCGCTAATACCGCTTCCAAAGAAGCAAACCTCAAATCTGTCTTGTTGTCTCACACGCCATCCCAAATGTCCGACAGGGAGAGGATCAAAGTGACCAACCCAAAAGTCCACCTGCAGCAGAATGTTCAGTTTCCCAATTTTAAAGTCAAAGATGGAGTCCAGACAACTCATCATGAGGCTCAACTTCAGGAGGTTAATGAAGATCAACAAGGACAGGAAACAGGAAGTGGAATGCATGGCTCGCTGGCAGAGGCTTCACAGGAGGAAGCAGAAAAGGTTGTCGGAGTCGACTCTAAATCACATCTGTCTGCTACTGTCTCGCCTACCTTATCATTGTCAAGAACAGAGCAATCAACATCTTCACCACCGTCATTTTCAACAGACCAAACACCAGATATCGCCGCTGTCACCAACACTGTAACGTTTGCACCAACTTCCCCACTCCGCCTCACGAGATCTGATGTGACTCCCTCTGAAGCAGCAACAGGCTCTTCACAAACTGCAGATGAAGACCAACGGGCTGAAACCGGTTTCCTGTATCCTCCCCGGCCTGGGCCTGTAGAGAAAGCATACACTTTATCTACTTCTGTTTATTTCACTTCTACCAGTTCTTCCTCCACTTCGTCACCTGCTCCCTCCCTATCAGCCCGCATTCCCTTCCTGTCGGCCTATACTTTCTCAAGTCCCAGCTTCACTCAGGCCAGTGAGAAAACACATCTGCCTAACGTTCCTTCAAACATCTCCACCACCACTGAGCCAAGATCTCACCAGACCGAATACCACAGCGCCACCTCCAACCCGCCTTTGCCGTCTCTGAGACTCGGTAGACGACCCGTGTGCACGTACCCGCCTGTGCCCGCTCACGGGACCTTCTACTTCCGTAATGTGGAGAATCCAGGACCCAGAGATTACAGGCACTACATACAGTATGGCTGCTACCCAGGTTACACACTGGGTCATGGAGACATACACAGCTACTGCCAGCAGGGGGACACCTGGAGCGGAATCACACCGGTGTGTTTGGGTAGGTTGTTTAGTTGTTCATTGTTGATACAAGCCTTAAAAGGAAAATCTAAAGATGGATATTTGCCATAAAATAGTTGGCAGCCTGTCAGTGATTCCTATGTAAAAATCCTCCCACAAAAACCAGTACTATGTGAGCACTCCAGGGATGTATGTGTTATGAAATAGTTTGTTACAGTCCATATGCAGTTTGCATGTAAAAAAAGATTGATTATTATAACACACAGTATATGCAGTGTGTTTCTAGAGTTTATGATGGAGCTTGTTTGTGAATTATTCACACTCCCGGTGATCATTCATGCTGCACTTTGACTAGACAGGTTAATATCTTTGTTCTGAAAATCTTTATATTATTTTTCTGAAATGAGAGCAGCTTGAGTCTAGGGCTGCGACTAACCACCAGGTTGTGAATTGCAGAATCATTTCTCAATAAATCAGTTCATCGTTTTTGTCAAATAAAATGTAAAAAAAATTGAAAATTGCCTATAAGAATTTGCTAAATTTTCTGTAGATAAATTAAACGACCAATAGTTTCAGTTCTTGACTCGCATCCAGTTTCAGTCTGTGTTTCAATCAAGCTGCTTCATGTCGGTTATATGTTTCAAAGAAAAATGCCTGTGAAGGTCATCTCAGTCTGAAAGATGATTCTGAACGTTACAAGTGAGTTACAGCCTCTGCTGTACCGATTCAAACCTCTCTCTGATGATGTTCCACCAATGTTCTCATACAAATGCTCAAATTAATTTCTGTAATTGTAACTCCCTGTATTGATGCATCCACACTGTTTGTCTCCAGAGTTGACACCTTGTTCAGTTAACCACGGAGGCTGTAACCAGCTGTGCTCTCACTCCGAACATTACAACCAGAGTACCAACCAGACCCAGACCAGAACTCAGTGCCACTGCAGAGCTGGATTCACTCTGCTGGATGATGGCCGAACATGTCGAGGTGAACATATTGATGTTTTTTCTTTTTCTTGTAACATTCCTGCTGAATCCTCTGTGAACGCCCCGGGGCTCCTCCTAATAAGAACACAACGTACACTGAGGCGTGTTACAGCACAACAGGGAACCTCCTCGTGTTTTATGTTGTTTTTGATGTTTCGTGGCGCACAGACAAGTATACGAGTGAGCTGTGAAATTTATGGCAGCACGGTGACCTTGTAGCACTTATAGGGCTGACATTTACTTTATATATCATCTCAGATATACGTGTGGCTGCTCACAGACAACCTGTCATTTGTGAGGGCCACCAGCTGAGGGTGTTGATAATATTTTTTCCACAGTGTTATTATCAGTGGGCACTATAAGACAGATAGACCTGTCCAGATGTCTTGGTTTGACTAATTATAGTTTAGTTTCAGCCGGAAAATTCCTGTGCAATGAAATAAGGCTTGTGATCATTCCTGCCTGACAGTTCAAGAGAAATGAGCTTTAAATTAGGTCCTTATTTCAAAAGATGACCTTTTGTCCACATGGGCCTCAATATATAGACATGTTGAACCATTAACAGAAAAGCAGTGGTGGAGACTAACTAAGCACATGCAGTCAAATGCTGTACTTGAGTATTTCACTTGGGAGAAAGTAAGGGGAAACGATGCTTTCCTAGATGGCAGGAAAACAAGAACGAGAGCTGATATACAAGCTTGCGGAGTCCTTTCTGCACATCCTTGTTTCCTGTCTCTGCAGAACAGGAAGTCAGAAAACATCTTTGTTATGGTTTGCTCATTATAGGTCCAAACAGCAAAACATGGCGACACATCAATGAGGTTTCAGAGGCGGGGGAGACGACCAGCTTTCATCTGCTGCTCTGTTCTTTCATCTCAGTGCAGCCTGGACTGTGTGTGTGTGTGTGTGTGTGTGTGTGTTTTGTCAGATCGCCTCTAAGCAAGAGTGTTTGCTTTATTAGGTCTGTGTTCATTAAAAACCAGTGCACGATATGTGTTCTTTATCCATGTAATCATTTTTGTCTGCATGTGTGTAGATTTAGACGAGTGTGTGGAGGGGCAGCACCCGTGTCAGCAGAGGTGCTTCAACACATTTGGTTCCTTTAAGTGCAGCTGTGATGCCGGTTATCAGCCAGCTCATGACCAGACCTCCTGCACAGGTGTGTGTGTGTGTGTGTGTGTGTATGTATTTATTTGCGTCTGTTCATGGTGTTCACATCTATGAAAAAAGTGTTTCTCCATCTTCCCAGATGTGGACGAGTGCCTGCTGCCTGCAGCTGTAACAGGCTGTGTGTTTGGCTGTGTCAACACTCCCGGGAGGTTCCACTGCAAGTGTCCTGCTGGCTACAGCCTTCAGACCGGAGACAGCCACTGCCAAGGTCAGGGGACACTCACTAAACATTACTGTGGGAAACCATGCATTGCTCTTCATGCTAGTAGCTCTATGGATGGCAATGTCGGCCGGTCCACCACTTTGACCCAGACTAAAATGTCTCATCCGCCACATGGATTCCCAGATGGTGAATGCTAATGGTGTGATGCCCTGACTTTTAATTCTTGACCTGATGATGGCACTAGATTCAATTTTGTTTCTTACCAAATACCTATGAAACCAACCATATTCCCTTCATTCTCAGTTAGTAAATATTATGACCATATTTAGTAATGCTGCACTAAACTAATAATTTGCCAATTAGCATGTAACATACCTGTTTTATACAAGCATGTTAGCATTGTAATGCTAGTAAAAGCACTGCTGTGTCCTGTCCAACCTCAGCAGGCAGCCGGCTGACATGGGAAGGCCATCAGCTTGATTAAGTTCACATGGGCCTCTCCATGTGCTCAGTCTCCTATACTACAGCCAACATCCACCCTGCATCACCTCTTAGTTTTGCACCCTCAACACCTCCACAGCATCTACACACTCCATTGTTCGTTGGAGGTAACCTATAGTTAAATTAAAATTATGTTTGGACTCATTTTTTGTCACACTTCCCTGAGCCAGTTTGAGACACAGAGCTTTTAGCATGGCTGTTGACTCAAAGTCTTGTTTTATAGTCTCCATGGCACATAACTTACATTTTAAACTCCAGTTACCGATCTAAAACATGTAAATCGTTGTATCCCAAAAACTTAATGTATTGACTTGAGGCTTCAGGTTAGGTAAACTCTTACGAGGGCATGGAAGATGTCCCAGGGGCAGATGTAACAATTCAGGTTTATTTTATTAGACTTACTATTAAGACATTTTACTTACCTGTCAGAATGGCGCAAAATCTACTTCAAAGGGAAGTTACTAAAAAAGCAGCACCAACCATTGCCAACACAAAATAAAGTGTGTTTTCTGTCAGTGCAACTTCGTCCCTTATCCCTTTTAGTTTTGACAATAAAATAAAATGGAAAAGATTGGTTGTCACCTTCTCCTAAAAGTATTTTTCTTATCCAGATATCGATGAGTGTGCTGTAAATCAGGGGCTCGGGACATGTGCGGAGCTGTGCCATAACTCACCAGGATCCTACCGATGCTCCTGCTCGTACGGTTACGTCTTAGCCGGAAACGGGCACAGCTGCATCGCAGAGTGTCCACCTGGGTACAGGAAGCAACCCACAGCAGCAACACCTGAGAATGCAACTGCACAAGCTCTTCGGGAGGAGTGTGTAGGTGGGAGATAACAACATAAAAGCTGAGAATTTCTCTAAATTTCTACAAAGAAATCATCTATATATCTCTGCGTGTCCACACAGATATAAATGAGTGCCAGGAGGAAACGTGTGAGTGGCAGTGCGTCAACCTCCCAGGCTCTCACCGCTGCATCTGCCCCAAAGGATACACACTGCACAGAGATGGCCGACGCTGCAAAGGTCAGTGGGGTCATGCACGCACTCGTAATGAGTGAAATTTGTATAAAATGAGAGTTTATGTGTGAATATGTTCACTACACATGCTCTCCTTCGTTTCTCTCGCTCTCCTCCAGACATCAATGAGTGCACCCGGAGGAATGGAGGGTGTTCCCACCTGTGTGTGAACCAAAAAGGTGGCTATAAATGTGCCTGCCCAGCCTCCCATCGGCTCTCCCCTTACAGCTGGAAGAAATGTTTACCAAGGACAACAGCGGGCTCTGCTGGCTGAGGTGTGTGACGTGTGCAAAGACACAAGAAATGCAAGTATCACAAGTGTGCATCATCATCGGACTGTGGTCTCTACAACCCAAAGAACCATTGGACCTATGAAACTGGCTAACGACACATAAGAACTTGAATGGTTATAGAATAAACATATGAGCTATCTGTCAAACTTGTTCGATGGATTTCAATATTTCATTCTTATAACAGTATTTTCCTGATTGATTCAGGAATAAATTCCTTAATAATTGACCCATTTGAATTGTTGTATTTCAAATTGTTATGTTGCGTATATATATTCTGATTGAATAAACAAATAAGTGTATTAATCACCGTTTTTAGTCATGACATAATTGGTGTGAATGCTTGAAGCCTTTTTTGATTCTTAACTCCCATCCTACATTTTTCAATGTAGAAAATGAGTTCACACATCACAATATTCAGCTCAGTTAGTTACATGCCTGCTATTACGTATCCATTCTAACTTCCAAATGTTTCAAATATGTCATACATTCTGCATATTATGAAACTTTAAATTCCCATTAAAACTTTTCAAAATATTTAACCTTCTTTGGTGCATCGTAAAATTGTCCTTTAAAATCTTCTGAAAAAAACAACTTAAAACTGCTCCCATTCCCATAATTTGAACTCTTCAAACATAATTTCATGTGAAAACGTAGGAAAATGTTTATTCATACAATGTTGCTGTGGAAGCAGACAGACTTATACACTTGGCCACAAGAGCCTGAAAGTGACGGGAACTCCAATCAATTCTCAGACATTATTGGTATTTCTCAGCTTTTAAAACTAGCAATAGTACTTAACTTTAAATGGTTCACAAAGCTGCAGCTAGAATCTTAACTAAGACTAGAAAATGTGGGCATGTTACAACAGCTTTCCTCCACTGGCTACCTGTCCCATGTGTAAATGGACATGCCTCTTCCTGCCTCATCTCCTTAAACCTTTTACTCCAATCATGACTCCTGTCTGTCACCAGAGTGAAAAAGTAGTCAGCAGGCCTGTCATACCTCTGTTCTTACAACATTACCTCCACATTGGACGGTCAGATTCCCCCTTTCCCCACCCCTTCAAAATAAAAGCCCTAACGGAGTAACTTTCTTAAAAGGAAGCTCCGACCAGGGCTTATTTTTCAAAACAAATCCCCAAACTCTCTGTATGTTAACAGGAAACTAGGGATGGACCTCATAGTTCAACTCTTGTCAGGGCTTAGACCTCATGTTGTATCCTTATTCCAACAAAATAAATTAAAGTAAACTTCAGCTCCTTCTTAGTACACTTAAGATCATTCGAATTAAACCCAAAAAGCAACAGCTGGAGCTCTGACCAATCAGAACTCCTCCTACTGCTGGTTATAGAAAATGATATGTGGCAGTAAATAAACAAATGACAGGTTACCATCGTTAGTCAAATCATTTTATTATTGCATGAACGTGTATAATGTTCATGATTTTCATGTCAGCATTAAAATATATCAACATTTACTGTTTTGCTTTCAAAATCAAAGCACTTGGATGGAAGTTATTTAAAACTTATTTTTTTACCTTTCTGTGCTTCTCAGACTTACAAGGACCCAATTCAACATACTCCGGACCTCTCTGGTACTTTACCAATATCTGGCTGCACTGCCACTTCATTCTTTACATATGCATCATGAATATATATATATATATATATGAATATATATATATATATACATATACACACATATACACATATACATATACACACATATACACACATATACACATATACACATATATACATATATATATATACATATATATATACACACATATATATATACACATATATACACATATACATATATACACATATACACATATACACATATATATATATACACATATACACATATACATATATACACACATATATATACACATATATATATATACACATATACATATATATATATACATACGTATGTGTATATACACTACTAAGTACCAGTATGAAAGCACCAATAATAAACTTATCTTCACTGTACACAAATGAACAAACCATCAATATGTTGAGGTACGTGCACAATTTGACTCGCCATATCAGCCATATATGCAGACAGCAGACATATGGATTTTCAATCATTGCACAAAAGACACAACCCATACACAAGGACAGAAACCTCTTGGCATTCGAGGTAAACAATGATTCTTGTTCCCATACAGGTTTATATTGATACAAGACTACAGCTAATGCAAGTTTATGTATCATCAACACCGTATTATTAGAAATTGTTATATATAGTTAAATTGTTAAAAATATAACTTATATATTTAAGGTCATCCATTACAGTAGAACAATAAGTTATTATATGACTAAATAAAATAAAACTAAAAAGAGAAAACAGAAAATAAAAAGTACACATTATTGATTTGAGGAAAATAATTTGTGTGAACAAATTACAAGAAATGATAACTCCGATAACTGCCGAGCTCTGTGGAATCATAACGTGACATATTTGATTACAAGATAGCTAAATGTTCATATAATATTCTCACACACACACAACACCAAGAGCACAGAGATGTGCTAATATATTTGCACATTTTCATTTACATATAATGCATGTTATTATGTCCTGTAAACACACATTTGAGCTGCATGTTTTAAGTAATAAATAAGTTCACAGTTTAGACTCGACAAAGAAAAACATAAATTGTTGAATCGTGATTTGAAATCAGCTGCCAACGCCACGATGTTACATCAGTGTATGAGAGCTACAGAGTTTATTGAAGAGTATATACTCACAAGTACCACATGAATGGTATGAGCTGATAATGAGAAGCTTTGCTGCCTTTGGCCAGATGATCCGTTACCTAAAAAACATGTCTCTTCAGGTGTTCGGTCTGCTTTTTCACTGCATCAGGCAGCTGGAGCTCGGCAGGAAGTCCTGGACATAAGTGATCGTAGCCTTGGACAGGTAGGTCATGGTGCCAAAGCTGCCACTGGGGGCGCTGTCGTAGAAAAAGTTGCAGATCCCGGTCGCCGGGTCCTTCTCAAGGAAATAATCACTGGCACTGTGGGATTTCTGGGTAAGCAGAGGCAGAACAGAGTGAACCCCGGTCAACATACTGTACATGAACGTCCCTTCAAACTAAAATGTGCCTCTTGCCATCAGCTATCTCTGTACCTGGTCATTGAGGAAGAGGTCATTGGCCAGATGCAGGATGCGGTCCACATGTACAATGCCACCGATGCTGTCCACGTCCACGTCTGCTACCAGGCTCAGAACCATCAGAGTCTCCACGAGCAGCTGCCGGTACTCTGGTTGAGGGACGTGGTTCAGGACGGACTCAACCTGCACCGCAAACTTGATCTCTCCCTCTGTCATCTACAGAGAAAACACTGAGTTAAATACACACACACACACACACACACACACACACACACACACACACACACACACACACACACACACACACACACAGGAAGTCCTAAATCCAGCTTTAGTCTGTGAGACGTTACTTCTCTTGTGGTAGACGAGGGCAACACATAGCCATCGATGGACAGGCCGTGGCACTTCTGCAGGATCTTCCAGACCTTCTGGTAGAACCCCACTGGTGCTCTGTTGATGGCTCCATCCAGCCTGCGTCTCCTCAGCCACTGGCCTTGCCTGTCCTCCCAGTGCAGCTGTCCATCTCCTGGACCAGGGCCCACTGGGGACAGGATCCCACTGGGGGTGGAGGGGCTGCTGCAGCGCTGTAGTGAGAGAACGGGAATATACTTTTACACATATTCAATGGAGCATTTTACTGATTTTAAACCTTATCTTCATGTACTTTAAACACACTCCTTATATACACCATTGCACTTGTCAGTAGTGTCCATTTCACAGACAGGCTGTAAAGATCTGGCAAGCTTTCTAACTCCACACCAACAGATTTTTTTTTCTTTTTCAAACTCGTCTTTAGTCCCAACTGACGCTGACTTAAGTGACATCACTTGAGGACATTGATCCAATTTCACGCAGCTCACTCTGGAGCCAAAAAAGGCTTTAGGCAACGTTTTCCACATTATGCAGTCATACCCCCCCAAGACCTGTGAACAGACTCTGATGTTTGGAATCAGTGGAGTTCCCTGTTAAGAGAATGATTACTATTCACAAGTCTGAAATGAATCGTCCCTCCTGCACCATCAGGTGTGTGGTGGAGAGCCTTTTAAAAATAAGCAGTGTGCTGGCAAGCGTAATAGCATATGCAGGTGTGTCACACCATAACAAATACATGTAAATAAGGTTGAAATATACAGTCTCTCTCTCACGCACACACAAAATTATACTTTTAGCCCTTATCTATAGTTATACAGGCCATGCAATCATTCATGCATATTAATATCATGCTGTAGCACATTCTGCAAAACACTTCAGCAGACGTGAAAGGACAAGGCTGGTGTTATTTAAATCAATAATTAATCGAATAAACAAATAACACTGCCAGCCTTATCCTTGAATGCAGAGAGACACAAAATATTTTGGCGTCTGCAGAAAATATGAAATACAAAACTACGGCAACCCTACGGAGGACAAACCAAGCTAATTGGAAGCAGATGAGGTGAAATGGTTTACCGTGGAGCGAGGAGATGTGACATTGCTACTCAAGGAAAGTCCGCCGCTGAAGATCTACACATGGGTATGGATGACGGAGGAGAGTTTGAGATGGTTCACATGGTTCTCATACTGCAGACATGACGATGCTGCAGCCACACGGAGATGTGAAAAGTCTAATTCAACTTGTGCAACTAGTGAGAAAGATTCTTGGAGGTAAAATTACTTTACTACTGATCACAAGAAAGACCATCTGACAAAAGATGCCACTCCATGCCAAAATACTATCACAAAGCGTGTGTGGGCTACTTAAAAGCAGCTAAATCAAGATTTGGATTGGTTCAGGAACTCATGAATTGAATTGAAATGAATGAAAAATACCTTCTTGACAGAAACCATTACTGCGTGATAGGAGTAGCAAATCATAATCTCCTACTGCTATGTGATGAAGTGAAAGTTGTTCCAGCTATGGAGGGCGCTGTGGCTGACGAAACGTTAAGAGCCGGCGAGGTGTATGACGTTAGGCTGACGTTAGAAACATGCTAAATATGATCAAACCCAACCCACACTGAGAGGCCGAGAGTCATCCAGCTGAAACCCAAAGCAAGAACACTGTTATTCTATTCAGACAGACAGACAGATCAAAGCACATGAAGCCCATGGCACGGCATATTTACAAAGATACACCCCGATTATTACCCTGTTGTTTTTTACTTTTAATTTGTATTCCCACCTGTTTTATCTCACT